CTCTCAGCTCTTCTCCAGCTTCTTCTAAACTTCTCCACACACGCTCCACATATATATACAGTACAGCCCCTCCTCCTGATGTCCCGCCTCCCACTCCCCATAGGATGGAACTTTCCCTCCAAACCCATGACAGACAGGTAACATCAGTGCTGTATGTAACAATCTCTACTGTCCATGTTGGCACAGATTGACATCTGTCCCACAGGGTTAGGAAGTCTGTGGTTCTTCATGTGCATGGCTCCATTTCCAGTCATGTCCTTCCTGGAATGACAGGCTTTGTAATTCACAAAATCTTTGTGAAGCTAGATTTTAAAATTAGGAGAGCCAAAGCAGGAGAGTCCAAATTCTTTTTACCAGTGGTGCACTGCTGTTAAGCTCATTGCCAATGTGGAAGGCAAGAGGAGATAGAGTTTGGGAGGCATCGCATGACCAGTAGCAAAACCCACTGGGAAGAAGACAATATGGAGGTTCACCTTCTTTAGAAGTAGAAAAGCAGTAACAACTGATGATTTCTTCACCCCATTGGAATTGCTTTGACAAAAATAACTTCAAAAACAATAGGCTCCCAACAATAAATATTTAACAAGTCCTCCACTTTTCATCAGCACTCATGCCATGTACACAGGCTACGCAGACATAGAAGAGGAAAAACAAGGCCATTTACTACTTCACTGTGCCCTGCTGCTCCTTGCAACGGAGGCGCCCATTTCTGCTCTCTCTGACACTTTGCCCCTGTTCTTTGGAGTCGGAGCAGCCTGTTCTAGCTGGACCAATATAAAATACGGCCATTCTCTCTCATGTTTCCCTAGGGTGGCTGTGTGTCCTTTTCTAGGGAGGAGAGTCGTCTGCTTGAGGGGCTCTCCCATCCACATCTGATTTAGTGATAAACAGTTACAAAAAAAAAAAAATATGGAAATGAGGGACTTTGAAGTTCTTCCATCTGAAGTTAGCACATAGCCAGCAGACTCAGCAGGACGTACGATAGCCACTCTGGTCACTATCTCCTCCACTGAGCGAGCTGCATATGAGATCATTTGAGAAACATATACTTTATAATAATTTTTTGTTCTTCTTTTTTGTTGATGTGTAAATGACCACCCTGTCTCCTTTGCCAAGTGCTGCTGTGGCGAAGTGAGTTCAGATCCAAAATACCCAGGCTCATTTCCTGCTGGCTGTAATAGAAGCTCATGGTAGCTGTAGGTTCTTCTGAGAAGGCGCTGGTGTCTACCAGGAGGAGACTGGTTTTTACCCCCATGTCTTCCAATGGCGTTCAGTTGATCATGGCCATAATTGTCTTTGGGTGCCGAGGCTTAGAAACACATCCAAAATTGAGTGGTGGGGGTAGGTGTGTGGAGAGTTAAACTGCCTCAGTTTGCCATGCTAGAAATGCAGTTCTGTACTTACCTGTATATGACACTCAACCAGGCAAATCATATACATGTCATTTGTCCCTGTTACGTCATCTGCAGCCACCAACTTCTTTCTTCTGTGATGCATTTGACTGCAGACTGGGTTGGTCAGCAGCCAGGTTGGGCTGCTGGGTTCTTATGTTAGTTCCACCCACCCACTCACAGACATATAAGTGTGTCACTTGTTGTCTGTGAAAGGAAGGTTGGTGTGGTTATCCTGTCTGAACAACAGCCATTTTTGTCCCCAGGTCTTTCTGTGTTAACACAGCTGTCCCCCTCCCTCCAAAATTAGAACCAGATGCTGAAATAGATTTGGGTCTTAACTCACGACTGACCTGGCTTGTTTACCTTTCTGGCTTATGCCTTATCTGTGTTCATGCTTAAAATAGTCTGGGCAGACTTAGTAGCCTATTTTAACACAGTTCAGGTTAAATGGATTTATAGAAGAGTTTGGCAGATCAGTGGATAAACAGTCACCATCACTGCATGACCCGGGTCCCCTTCTTAGCGAGCTTCACACCCTGTGGCTAAACCACCATATTTTATATTAATAAAGCTGTAACATTGCTCTTCGAATCAACACTTTGGAGTTAAAAGGAGGCAAGGATTGATGTAGGGCAGAGCTATTTAAAATGACAGGGTCCTGCACAAGAGCTCTTTTGAATGGAGAAATGCATAGGCACCCATTTTGCTTCCCACATGGCTCAATCGTTTTGGGTCCCTCCAACCCCCAATATTGCACAAGGGAGGAATTTTTTTAAAAAATTGCAAGGCAAGGTGGTTGTGTCAGGAAGCTGTGCTGGGCACCGTGCAGAAAACACATAGATGTGTGTCACGCTGTTGCCTGTGCCAAACAGAACTTGAGTATCTGCTTGAACTTGAATATCAGCAAAGGGACTTTATAGTTTGTAATCTGTGCTCTAAGCCAGCGGTCCCCAACCTTTTTCAGTCCGCGGACCACCCCCTGCACTCGTGCGCATGCGTGAACAAACGCTCTCTCGCACAAGCATGAACAAGGGCTCTCTCTCGCCCTGTGCAAGTGCCGCACCATCGTTTGTGCACGTGCGCGAGTGTGCATGTGTGCGAGTGTGCACGTGTGCTCATGCATGTGTAAAAACTGGCGTGGCACTCACACGGCGTGCTGGAGCGCGTGTGCAGGCGCAAAGCCGCCGTTTGTGTGTGTGTGTGAGTGTGCACGTGTGCTCATGCATGTGTGAAAACAGTGGCGTGGCACTCACACGGGCGTGCTGGAGCGCGTGTGCAGGCGCAAACTAAGCTCTAAGCATTCCCCAACAGACCCATGTGGAGTGTGTGTTACATGAGATGCTGCAAATAAGTTCTGCGTTGCAAGGTTTAACTGTAAGCCAGTGGAAAATGATTCTAAATCTGTTTCTGTTCTTATTTCTCCTTCATAGGCAGGAAGAAAAATCCTGGGTTGAAAATTCCTAAAGAAGCCTTTGAACAGCCACAGACAAGTTCTACGTACGTATGCCTTAACACCCTTCATTTTATGGTGGGGGACTGGAGCTGAATGGATTTGCAGCTGAGCCCCAGAGCTTTTCATGGTGGTCACCACCAATTCCTTCTGCTGACTGACTCCCTTAGGTGTAGGGCTTGAGGGAGAGCAAGGGCCACCTTCTTAACCTCCAGAAATAGGAGAGGGTAAGAAACAACAGGGGAAAACCTTCCTTGTCTCTTAACCTGCTTGAAAACGTCAATAGAAATAAAACTTCTATTTTATGCTATCTCATTCGCAGCAAGCTGGCGAGTGGATTTGTGGTTGCCTAGGCTGGAGCAAATATACAAAGGCAGGGATTGTATATGGAGTGACTTTACCATAGCAAAACCACTAATTCAAGGTGGTGCTAAACTGTGGATTATTTATATTCCTTCCCCACCCCCTGTATTAAAAGGGTAGGGCACTCAGGAATTGACTAACCACTCCGTGTTAGTGAATCCAGACTAAGGTCCTCTTCTGAGATTTTTAGTGCAGTTTGATCAATTCTTAAAAAACAAAAAACCATTTGTATTCAGAAGAGTGTTGTCAGTATTAAAATGGCTTACCGTGCACAATACAATACTGTACAAATGTCCCGGAGTTGGATTTGGTTAATGTGGAAGGGTGAAGCCGTGATGTGAATACTTCCTAATGATGACATTGCCCACTTTGCAGGCCCAGTAGGGCCTTTGATTAGCCTTTTTCTAACAACAAACTGAATGCTATGTTAAAACTAGCCCTTTGTAATGTATAAGGAATTGTATTTTAATTTGGGAAAAATTATTTGGGTATGTTCTACCTCGAGCACACAGCTGCAGATCATAACCATCCCCTGCCATACAGAAGCTGCCCTTCTCAGATTGTATTGACATTGCATATTCCTGGGTTCTTTGCTGACAAATTATTGAGTTATCAGGTGATCTGTTAAGGCTAAATCTTCACATTTTGTATGCAAGACAGGAACTCAAGGGGGATGGCACCACAGCAGGCAGCTTGTCTCTTCGACTCTAAAAATTCATCAGGAATGAAAATAAATGTCCACATTCTACCCTAACCCTAGTATTCTAGGATCATGTTATCTTAAAAGCTAATTAATTTCTCAGTCAGTTTGTCACCTTGGCAAACTTGAAGAGACTTGAAGAGACAGTCAGGTCCTGTTTAGAAGCTGATAGTAAGTTTGTCCTCCTGTGATGGGATATCCTCAGAGCTGCAGGCTGGAGCAATCAGATTTATAAATGAAGCATGGGTTTCTATACTAGTGACCAAGCACAAAGCAAAACAACCAGATTTTCAGGATGTGGCTATTAAGAAAAACTTGTGCTAGCTGGTACAAGCATATGACTTTTACTGATTAAGACAGTGTTTCCCAGCCTGGGGGTTGCAGAGGGTTTTCCGAGAGATTGTGAGTCAACTTATATGTGTTAAATAATTTCTCCCTTGACCTTTCAGAGTGGGTTATTAAAGTTAGGGTATATGTGTCTGTACGAGAAACAGCCCCTTTGGCAAAGAAAGATGCATCTACTTTCTAAGAGATGACTATCCCATTAAAAATGCCTTTGCATGCAAACATGTCAGGGGTGGAGTGTGTTGCAGGTTATTTAGTTATTATAAAAGGACCATAACTTGAAAAAGTCTGACAACCACTCGTTTAAGGGAACTCCTGTTTCTAAATATGAGTGCTGAGTATCTCATCTTGTTTGACCCTCTGCTAAATAACACATGTGCCTGGATCACAGCCTAACAGAGATCGTTTGAATCTGTGAAATGGTTAGGTTATTCGTTAGGTTATACACTGCCTGAGGGTTCCTTGAGAGTTCATTAGCTAGCGCTCAGTGTTGCTTTCCTTATTGTGCCACGTAAGAAATGGGTCGTGTTAGGCAGGTGGTCCTGACTAACTCATTGTGTCTGGTACTAAGCCTGGGCAGCAGTCTGATATTTTCTCTGTCACGTAGCATGTGTACTCTATGTCTTTCGCTCAGAAAGGGAGTCTTTTAAAAAAAAATTCTGGTGTGTGGTGCCTCTTTGAATGCACTCCTCAAGGCTAAGCACTTGTGATTTTTACCTCCCCTGCCTTCCCATAACAGACAATAAAGCACTGAAATCACTGAAGAGAAGCTTAATCTTCACCAGGGAGCTGCTGCTGCTGTTCCACTCAATAGAAGGCCTTCTGAAGACTGGTGTTTCCCTTATGGGGACATTAATGTTCCTATGAATTGCAGTGCCTCTTCTTTTTGTCCTTCCTCTTTGATATTTCAAAGGGCTTTTCCTACAGATTCTTGTTTCTGCAATGTTATAAAGCTCTGTTGGAGAAGCATGTGAGATTGGGAGAGTGTTTCTGAGGATGAAAGGATTTTTGGCTTCGAAAGGGGAACATGCAGTTGTGGAAATGGAAATTCTGTAGAATTATTAGAATGAAATCAGGTTCCCAGAGGCCAGCTCCAGGAAGGAATTAAAACTGGAGCTGTCAACAGGTTAATTATCTATCTTCCCAGCAATTTAATAGGAAGTAATACCCCAAGGCCTCAGTAAGTACTTTGAGGTCCAAACCTGACAGTGCGATGAGTTGTGTTGTTGTTGCCATAGAGAGCCCATCACAGCTCCTTGGGCCAAAATCCTATTGTTATTGTTCTTTTTTGCACATTTCATAACATAGTTGTTGAAGTCACAGGAACCATTTGAGGCTAAGTAATGAAGTGCCCTGTCACATGACCAAGCACCATGTGAATTAGAGTGAATTGGATATACAGAAAACACACCCACACAGACAGGTACCTACACAAAGACTCCAACCACCACCCACAGCAAAAAAGAGGCAGATCGGAACTGTGAAGCTAAGTTTCCCAGCAATGAACTCAACCATCTGAATTGGGCCCTACAGGCAAATGGCTACTCCAAAAATGTAATCATGAGCCATCAAACCAAGAAAACAACACCGAACTGAAGAAGAAAAATAGCCATTCACAAATAGAGTATTTCTGCCATGCATCAAAGGGGTCACGGACCGCACGGGGAAACTTTTGAAAAAAACACAATCTACAAACAGTACCAAGCCCACACACACACAAAAAAAATACAAGAAATGTTACGGTCAGCAAAGGACAGAAGGGACCCCCTCACCACCGCAGGAGTATACCAGATACCTTGCAGTTGTGGCCAGGTATATATTGGAACCAAAAAACGAAGCATCTACACCAGAATCAAAGAACATGAGAGACACTGCAGACTAAAACAACCAGAAAAATCTGCAGTAGCTGAACATGCCCTGAGACAAGCTGTACATGAAATTCTATTCCAAAATATTGAAATATTGGACAATACCAGCAATCACTATGTCAGACTGCACAGGGAATCCATTGAAATCCACAAGCACCAGCAGAACTTCAACAAAAAAGAGGAAAGTTTGAAACTCAACAAA